AGTTGTTATTGGTGGGGTGGGTTGTGGAACACAGGAGCTAAAGTAACTTCAAATGTTATACTGCGGCTCCATGATGCACCAGTAAATGAAGATACACCTCCAAATGGAGGCTTTCCATCCATTCCAGCCAGATGCCCACATTTGTCTAGTATTTTATGGCCCCACCTAAAGGCTGTAAATACTTAGACAGCTCTGCTATAAGAAGCCATTTTTTTCTCATTTTGTAATCACCAGGGGCAATTAGTGGCAATTTGGGCCAAGTCTGGAAAGTCTCCAAGGTAGAATTTAAACTGTGGTTCATACAAAGGATCATTAGTGATTATTATGAACACACACACACAGAAGAAATGGACAAATTCTTGGACACATAACTGTACCAAGATGAAATAATGAAGAAATAGAAAATCTGAACAGAACAAGTAGACAAATTCATGGAGGCATACATTTTACCAAGATTGAATCAAGAAATAGAAAACCTAAATAGACCAATAACAATGTAATAAGATTGAATCAATAATTAGGTATCTTATCAAACTAATACTGAAGAGTAGGCAGCTTCACTGCTGAGTCCTACCAAATATTAAAGAACAAATACCAGTTCTTCTTTAATTATTCAAAAAAAATGGAGAGGAAAGGATTCTAAATACATTTAACAAGACTAGCTTTATACTGATACCCAAACTGGACAACAACAACACTTACAGGCCACTATTCTTGATGTACAAATTTCAACAAAATATTAGGAAAATGAAACCAACAGCACATTAAAAAAGATCATTGAGGGTGGTCAAAGATAGTTCAATATAGGCAAATCGATAAATATGATACCCCTCAACAGCACAAAGAATAAAAACTGATCATCTCATATATGTGCAGAAAAAAGGATTTGATAAAATTCAACATTTCTTCATGATAAAAATGTTAAACATTAGGTATAGAAGGAATGTACTTCAATTTAATAAGGACCATAGATAGTAAGGAAATAGGTATTGAGAAATCCTGAAACGTTCTAAGATTTGGAACAAGACAAGGATGCCCACTTTCACTTTTATTTAGCATAGTGTTAAAAGTCTTAGCCAGAGTAATCAGGCAAGAAAAACAAAAGGAATCCAAATTAGAGAAGAGGAAGTCAAAGTGTCACTGTTTGCACATAACATGATCTTAGATAGAGAAAATCCCAAAGATTCCCTCTAAAAATTTCCTTTTAGAATCAATAAACAAATTCACAATTGCAGGATACAAAATCAAAATAGAAAAGCCAGTAGTGATGATATATGCCAGTAGCAACTTATCTGAATTAAAATAAAGAAAGAAATCCCATTTACAGTAACTGCAAAAATATGTCTAGGAATAAATTTCACCAAGGAGGCAAAAGATCTCTACCGTGAAAATTATGAAACATTGATTAAAGAAATTAGAGGGGGCATGAACAAAAAAGTGAAAATCTATCCATGTTCATAGATTAGAAAAATCAGCTTTGCTAAAATGTTCATCTTACCCAAAATAATCTACACATTCAGTGCAATCCCTGTTAAAATACCAATGATATTCTTCACAGAACTATAAAAAATAGTCTTAAAATTCATATGTATATTGTGATACTATTCACAGTATCAAAGAAATGGGAACAACCTAAGTGTCCCTTAAATGATGAATGAATAAAGGAAATGTGGTACACACCTATAGCTGAATACTATTCAATCATAAAGAGTGGCATAGATACACTCCTGACTTTTCCATTGAGCAGAATTCTGCAGTAGAGCCCTTCAGAGGTCATGATGGTTCCATATTGGTTGGGTCCTGGGCAAAGGACTTGGGAATAATGTGAAATATCCTAGGAGTCAGAATGGTGTTGGGAAAGGACATTTGTGGAAGTCTGAGACACCAAGGAGTTGATTCAGCTGTCTAAAGTGGTGGCTAACTTTGATCAAATTGCTAATCTATCTCTAAACCTACTTGCCCATTTCTATGTATATTTTTTAAAAAAGTGACACCAACACCTCTCTTGCAAGTCAGCTGGCATAAGCAGGCTTCAGTAAACGCTAGGTTCCTCCAGTGGCCTCTTTTGCATCCTTTCCCTAGTAGAGGAATGTGGCTGGCTTTTGTATCTATTCAGTTAGCAACTGAATTTCATTCGGTTGAGTTTCATGTGTAATGATATTAGAAAAAGCATTTAATGGAGTTTATGACTCTGTTTGGAAAAGCAAACAATAGCTGTACAAGTATTAACTTCATGGGAGAATATATACAATTAAATTTGTAATTCTTAAAAGGAGTAGAATTTGGTGTGGCCAAATGTTTAAACAGTAAAATTTTGCATAAAGAACTTGGGTAACAAGAGAAGGAGAGAACTGAAAAGGGAGAATGAGCAATGTAAGATGCTGTGTTTTAAAATGGAGACATGTTGTGACTGAAGCATGCTACTTACAGAGAGAAATGCATCAGATTATCTATGCAAATGAACCCCAACTTAATCTACAATTGTAAATAAAATGATTTCAATTAACCACATTAGGAATTCTGGAACGAATGACACTGATACACTTAAAATTTAACCTTCTAGAGAGCATTTTATCCTGGCTAGATGACACAATGTCTATAAAAGACCCGTTAGCCTTTCACTTGGTGAAAGGCAACAAGAAAATGTAATTTATACAGTATGTTTATGGTAATAACATCTACTCATGCATAAATAAACAAATAAATAAAAACATAGACACGTTTACACTTACACAGATGTGACCAGCTTGATATGTGCTGCTTTTGAGATCTAGCAAAGCAAACATTAGCAAAATGGAATAATACATAGTTATTAAAATGAGCTTGCAATTGGTCACTATTCGGAATAGGTGCATAAAATAAATGGGAAATGAAACTCCTTCCACCATCTCTAATTTGCAGCTGTGGCTTCTGTTTCAGGGATGTAGGGAGGGACAAGACTGTCATTCGCTGCTTCAGAGAAATGCTGTTGGAAGAGTAGGAGACAATGGTGAAATACCGATAATCTTAGGTACTAAGTGCTCGGAAGAAAGTGAACTGGGCCTGGTGCAGAGAGGCCTTTAGGGAAGGGGGCTGACCCTGTTGTTGGCGGGGAGGGATGGAAGAGTCTCACTGTGTTGAGTAGCACAGTGAGCACATGAGCTGGGGACAGCAAGTTTCAGGGGTTTGGCCTGTGTGAACTAAGAGCAGACTGGGGTGGTGACATCTTCCAGGCTAACTTGGTACCTGGATCATGGAAGCTGTTCTTTTAGAATGGCCTGAAGAGCTAGGCTTTAGGTTCCGTTTTACAGTTTTTAGAATTTTGTTTTTGGGCTGGCGTTGGAGCTTAGGTTGTGCTTAACGTGTGAGGCCCTGGGTTGATCCTAGCACTCCGTCTCCAAATACCGTGCAGTTCTACGTAACAATTTAATGAAGAAGAGTAAAGCATGTATTCATGGCCTCCATGAAATTATGAAATAAAATAACTTTAATCCCTTTGCGGCTCTGACTCTGTCTCCCCCACCCCCAGCTGAAGTGAACCCTGCATGACTTGGGCGATGATGAGTCACTTGTAATTCTGTGATTTGGGGACTTGTGTGTATAAACTAAATGAGTATTGCAGGACAGCCTGTTTTGCACTTCCATGTGCCTTCATTCATGACTTGCCTTTCTCTCCAAATTGTGAGATTTTTCTGTGCTGCTATGTGAGTTTATAGTTACCTTTTTATATTGTAGTGACTATTTACTATAATTTATTCACTTGTAATGTTGAAAGATATTTTTTCCCCAGTATTTGACTATCATAGTGATTAGCACAGTAATGGATTTTCTACAAGTGCGTGACCGTTATCTTGGAAATTTACCAAAGTTTCTAGGTTGTAAGAGATCCTCAAATTTACTAGGAAATGCCAAACTACTTAACATTAATTAATTATGCTAAGTTTTGCTCTTTCTGGCAGTGTATGGATATGTTTCTTAACACATGCAGTCACATCAGCCCTTGGAGCTGCCAGAACTATTAAGTTTTACCAGTTGGATGGGTATGTTGAGGTGTCTTGAGGTTTTAATTTTGATTTTTTGATCACTGATGACCTGAGCACCTTTTCATGTGGTTGCGGGCGATTTGAATTTCCAACACTTCCTTTTGTGAAGTGCCCGTTCAAGTTTTGCCCAAACTGTTTATTGGGGGTTCTGACTTAGGCCATTGCTTTCTGGAAGTTGTGTATACTTTGTGGATGTGTGCTTATCTTTAGTCTTTTTTTTTTTTCTTTAATTCTAAGCTGGTCAGATTTTATGAGTCTCTCTAGCTTTGTTATCTATCTTTGTAAGTAATGATGCCAAAACCTTGTATATGCTCTCCCACTGAGCTCCTCCCCCAGCGCTGACATATTGTAGAGGTACAGTTTCCCACTAAGAAATTAATCTCCAATGTGAAAAAGATGACTTCCAGAGTTCTCTTGCAAATTTTTTTTTCTACCCCTTAACCTTGGTCTTCGGTTATCTGATGCTATCTCTCTGAGCATTCTTTGGGAAGCTTCTGGGTTTCTCTGACTAGAGTGGTTATTTGGCAGTCAGTTCAGAGCACCTGGCTGGCTGACCCTGACGAACTTTGGAGACCCTGATGTTTGAAGCTGTGGCTGGTAGGCAGATCTCCTGAAGCCCTGAGAGGAGCTGTCAGGTGTGTCAGGTGTCCTAACCATAGTCCAAACTTTTGAATCAGGCAAGTTCTGTCCGAGTGGACAGGGAAAAGGGAAAGTGCTTTAGGGAACGGGGTGAAATAGTTGGACCTGGGGAAGAAGTGGTGGGGGAGGGAATAAACAATTCCTGAGCACCTGTTCTGCCTGTATAGAGGACAGAGGTGACCCAGAGTGTGCCAGGTTGAGGGTGACAGGAGCAGGGTTGTGCCTTCTCACAGTTTGGGCGGAGGGAACTCTCCAGCTCTACCCATCTTAGCAGGAATGAAGTTCTTCCAAGCCTTGACTTAAAAATGACCCAAGTAACCAGTGTCCCTTTTTGCCTAGGTCTCTCGGCAGCCCAGCGGAAGTTTGCCCACTCACTTAGAGACTTTAAATTCGAGTTTATTGGTGATGCTGAGACCGACGATGAACGCTGCATAGGTATGTGAGCTGAGGTGCTGGTTTGTGCTCCTCTGCCTCGGCCACCACATACTCATTCCTTTCTCTTTGCAGATGCTTCCTTACGGGAGTTTTCCAATTTTTTGAAGAATCTGGAAGAACAGAGAGAAATTATGGTGAGTGGGGAGTGGTATAAACTGAGTGCCCCCTCAATTTCAAACAGGGGGACTCAGGGATAAGAGGCTGGTTGTGGCCAAAGCGTTGATACATTTCTCTGTAGAGTACTGCATTTAGTGGGAGGAGCTGTGGATGAGGTGTCAGGAGCCCTGATTTCCAGTTCCATGGTGGGTGGACTGTGGTCACTTTCTGGACCAGTTTTAGAAATTTAGATCGAAGTTCTTCATCTTCATCTATAAAGCAGAGAGTTGGGTGCTTTTTCTCTTGGTTGGCAGCAGAGCACACCCTTGGCTTTGAATAGAATTTCATACAGAGCCTCTGCATATCCCAAAGCTAAAAGCAGGAAAGCTTAAATAGAGGCAGAAAGGACAGCAGGATGCATCTGGAGCCTGATTCAGAACTCTGTAGATTTCTAAGCTGTGTGGGGAGGGACAGAACTCATGCCTGGAAATCTGTGAAATTCCTCATTTGTCTTCTTGCATTGCTGGGGATCGAACTCAGGGCCTTTTGCTGAGTGCTCTACCACTGAAGTACATCCCCGGTCCTGTAATTCCACTTTGCATTGAGATTATGACCCAACACTAATAAGAGTAGTTTCTTCCACATGTTGGTGCTTTGCTGAGTACCTTGAGTAAATGATCTTATTTTGGGGGTATTGAATAATATTTGCATGTCTTTCTCAAAAGCTTGCATTTGCTTTTTGTTTTTGGCAGTCCTGGGGCTTGAACTCAGGGCTTCTTGCTTGCTAGGCAGGCACTCCACTGCTTGAGCCACTGTGCCAGCCCTTCCTTTCTAATTCAACAGATTTATAGTAGAGTTACCACTGGGTTATGACACACCATTCTCACTATTTTTTTTTTTCCAGGCTTTAAATAGATTAAAAGCTAGGGACTGGGAATGTAGCTCAGTGGTAGAGTGTGTATTTAATAGGTGCAAGGCACCAGGTTAAATCTCTAGTACCAAAAAGTAAGATAAAACAGTACTATTTCAGGTTCTTGAGAATAAACACTACCTAGAATTACCTTTAAGTGTATGAGTACATTCAGATGAGGTAGTACTGCCAATATTCACCATGATAGCTAAGACAGCCTTGACTGTGTGCCAGAGCTATTCTTAGCTGTTTACCTAATTTTAAGTCATTTAACGATCACATAACCATATAAGATAGATACTGTTCCTGCACCCTGTTTTACAAGTGAGAAAACCGAGGCACAGCCTTGTCCAAGATCACTTGGTGAAGTAAGAGGTAGAACTGGTGGGTGACAGACACAGGCACTTTGAGCTCCCTCCCTCTGTAGCCAGCTTTATAGATGTTTTAATGTGCCAGGTGGTGGTTGGTGGGGGTAGGTAGACTTGCAATAGGAGCAGAAGTAGAAAGAAGGAATTGATTTTAATTGAAAAAGTAATGGAGCACATGTCTTCTAAAAGTCCTAATATAATTTGCATTGTCCCCTAAGTTCTAAGATAATTTGTACACGTTTTAAATTCCACAAGTACCTTGTAAAGGTACTTTACACTGACACTTTACACTGACAGATTCAAGCAGTCCCCCTATTCATTGTTTTTTTCTTTATTTTCTTTTTAGGTGTTTAGGAAAGACTAAGTATGATGGTAGCTAAAGACAGTGCCATGATGTCACCTTTCTACTGCATGAAGTGGGTGTGAGCGTATGGATCACTGATGGAGTTCTTTTTTATTTTTGGTAGGGCTGGAGTTTGAACTTGGGCCTCATGCTTCCTTGGTAGATGTTCTACCACTTGAGCCACACCCTCTCAACCCTTTTTTGCTTTAGTTATTTTTTGATAGGGTCTTGTACTTTTGCCTGGGACTGGCCTCAAAAATTGATCCTCCTACCTGTGCCTCCCACATAGGATTACAGCACATATCACCACCCTTGGCTTGTTCTTGTTGAGATGGGGGTCTTGCTGAATTTTTGCCTGAGCTGGCCTTGACCCTTGAAATAACTGAGATTATAAGTATGAGCATCTGTGTCCAGCCCAGTTTCTTAGTTTGTATTATTAATATCAGTTTCTTTGTGCTCAACTGTCTTTGATACTCAGTTCTTTTCTAGGATCCTGAGAATACAGCAAATACTTACTGATACCCCTTTTTATTCTAGTTATTGTTTAGTACATGAGGACACAGAGGCAAAGTCCCTGCCTTCACAGAGCTCACACTCTAGGAAAGGAGAGTGGTAAATAAACATATAATACATTGTCAGGCCAGTGAGGAGTGCCACAAACCAGAACAAAGAAGAGTAGGGAGCCAGAGCAAGCTGGGGTACTATTGGATCCAGAGTTTGGAAGGCCTTCTTGGCAGGGGACTGTGTCAGGTGTCTTCCGGGTGCCTGGAGGAAGAGAGTTCTGGGCAGAGTGGGGCTGGATTTTAGCTCTACAGAAAAGCTCTGTGACCACCATCTACTGTGATATGATTTCCATTTTAAGTTCCTTGAAATAAGTCAGTGAGGTCAAGAGACTGGACTGTGGCTGAGGCAGATTGTGTGATACAGACTGTGTGGCTCACAGAGCTGCTGTTGTTGACTTGCTGGTTGGGTGTCCAGCTGTGATTGTGGTTAATAGGGTCTCTGTTAGAGATAGGACTAGGTGACAAGGTTGGCTTCCCAGTGCACAGTGGACAGGAGAATAGGACAGCATGTGTGAAAGGCCATGGACCTCAGGGAGGAATGGCACAGTATGTCACAACCCATTTGTGGGAACAGAAGCACCTGCTGGATAGCAGGAGGTTATCCAAAGCCAGAAAGCAGCCAATCAGAGAGGTCACAGGACCCCTCCTGATACCAAATTCCTTTTTAGTTTGGAAAATAGTAAGCTTGGACAAAAATAGAGAGAAAAACACAATGAAACTCCCTGTATGTCATCAGCCCCCAACTTACAGCCAGTCTGTTTCTCCCGTATTCCTCATTGCCTGGACACAAAGCCCAGAATCCTGTCATTTCATCCACAGGTACCTCAATTCATACCTAAGAAAGGTGACACTTCTGAAAACAAAGCAAAACTAAAACGGTTCCTTTATCCCTTTATCCAAACAAATAAGAATTCCCTCATTTTACTTGTGATTAGGTTCGATTCAAGTCTTTCTCATATTCGTTCAAATTCTCTGTCTTTCCTTCATCTACCTCTTTACTAACAGTTGATCTGTTTGAATACTTTTAGTTATTCAAATAAATTTCGTTTGATGGGTAGGTCTTTTTAAATATGTACTTCTTCTATTTTCCCCCTTGACAAGAATTTATGGTACCCTTTAAAGTTGTGCTTATCTGGGCTATCAGTGACTTAAAACATTGAGATTAATAAAATGTATAAATGTGATATTTAATCCATACTGGTGGCATTTAGAACTCCTGTATAATCTTGATAGTCACCTTTTTGGTAGCTATAAAAATTAGATTGAATCATTGGGTTACCTTTGATTCTTTAAATACCTTTGAAAACTTACTGATAACTTCAGTGGATCGCTAGACACCAACCTTAAACTTTTGAATAAGAACATATACCTAACGAAATTCCAGCGTGACCCTGGGAAATAACTGGTCATTACCAAGTCAAATAAACAGACTAGGTATGACGAAAAAATTATGGAGTGTGGCTACCATGCAGAGGGATGCAGGTAAGCCCATGCTTGTCAGGAGGCCATGGCAGAAAGTGTTGGAAACTAGGCATTTGTGGGGTGGAGTCACAGGGGAGGGACTTTGCATAGTTTAACCAGCTCATGGCTCCCCAGCACAGTGATAAGGGAGGTGAGTTCTGAGAACTTTTAAAAACTTTTGTTTTACTTAACTAGTGCAAACCTTCAACAGGATAAAAGCCACAGTCCCTTTTTATTAAAAGAGAATGTAAAAATGACAGCTCTGAATGGAAATAGAAATACTCAAACTATCTCTAAGAATTTAAGCAGAATTTATTTATTTATTTTCATTTTATCATTTTTGCATATACTAACAAGTGTATACATTGTTTGGGCCACCACCCCCATGCAGAATCTACCCCCACCACTACCCCCAGCAGAACCTGTTCCTCCCTCTTGTTCTCCGATTTTGTTGAAGAGAAAACATAAGAGATAAGAAAGACATAGCATTTTTGCTAGTTTGAGATTAAGATAGCTATACAGAGAGATTCCTAGCATTGCTTCCATGCACAAGTATATTACAACCCACATTGGTTCATCTCTACCTGACTTCTTCCTAGTCCCCTTAATCATTTAATCTTTAAAAGTAACGTTTAAGCTGGTTGTGGTGGCATACACCAGGAATCCCAGCTACTCAGGAGACGGAGGTAGGAGGATTTGCAGTCCAAGGCCAGTCCCTGGTAAAAGTGAGACCCCATCAGAAAAATAAAGCATAAAGGGCTGGGGGCATGGCTCAAGTGGTAGACTGTTTACTTAGCCTATGTGTGACCTTGAGTTCAACCCCCAGTATCAGGAAAATAAATGTTTAGTATTTTCTGAAGTCCTAAATTAAATAATGGCACATGCAGCATAATTATTGAGTATTCATCATTAAGACTGAGGCATTAAAATATAGAAATTTAGCTTGGCATAGTGGCATATGCCTGTAATCCTAGCTATTTGGGAGGCAGAGGGAGGAGGATTGTGGTTTGAGGCCAGTCCCTGAAAAAGTTAGTGAGCCTCCATCTTAAAAACAAGCCAAGTATGATGGTTTACAGCTGTAAACATCTTCTCGGGAGGCAGAGGTAGGACCACAGTCTTAGGCCAACCAAGGACTAGGGTGTGGCTCAAGTGGAGAACACTTGCCTAGCAAGCACAAGGCCCTGAGTTCAATCCCCAGTTAACCCCCAACCAAAAAAAAGTTTATAAAATTTGTTTCAGAAGACAAAGACCAATGCCAAACAAAAAGATTTTATATCCTAATTAAACGTTAAATAAGGACTTGGGGCTTTAAGAGATAGAGTCACCTGTATGGAAACTCAACAGTCTGCACCAAGTTCTTGCTTGTTGGTTTGAGTCAACAGATGTGTATGTT